TAATTATAACTTATCAAAACTTTTCGAAAAATTGAAAATATAACAATTTTCTACACAAATTTTTTACAAAAAATTTCTGGAATATTGCGAATTTTTTTGTAAAATTTCTGGAATATTTGCAAATTTTTATTACAAAAAATTCTGGAAAACTACAAAAATTTTCATAATATTGCGAATTTTTTTTCCGGAAAATTTTGAGAGTCTGCAGAACTTCCAGAAAATAATCAAACTGAAAAATTTCCGGAGATTTTTGTCTTTTAAAATTTCCTGATGATTGATTAAAATATTTATTTTAATAGATAATTGATTATCAAGACAATTTAGAAAATAGTGATAAATATAAAAATATAATAATTAATAAAAGAATAATAAATATTATAAGGTTAAATACTTGATTATATAATTGTATAATATTATTATTCTTAAATTAATAAAATTAATTACAAACTATTATTATAAATTCTAGACTTGAAATAATATTTAACCTAGATAAATGAAAGTAATACTTAATGATGATAAAAATAAAAAACAATTAATAAGTAGATATTAATATCAAAAATGATGATAATTTGAAAAGATATTAGAATAAATTAAATGAAAGATCTGATTCTTTTTCTAAAATAACTGAATCAGTAATACCTTTTAAAACAACTGAACAATAGTTTTACCTTTGGAAAAGGACTATAAACTCCTTAAAAAACTATTAAGTTACTCTGCTAGTTTGTCTTTAAAAAACTAGGAACTATTGATAATATTGTCAAATTCTTTTATTAGCACTTCAAAAGGTTGTTAAACATTAAAAAATAATATTCATTTTTGATTAGAAGTAAGACTTGTAATTGAGTCTGTTACTATAATATTTGTTATAGTTAATTTGTAAAATTGCAAAAGTTCTGAAAAGAATTTTTTTTGTTAAAAGTATTTATAATTTTTTTATAGTCTTTAAAAAAAATATTCAAAATCCAAAAACAAAATAAAGAAAAGTAATAAAGTAATATTTTGTTTTTTTTTTTGTTTTTTTTCTTTTCTGTAAAAAGTATTTTTACACAATTTAATTGATCAAAATATTATATGATAGTTTTGCTTTTAGGCAAATGATGATATTTTAATTATATAATTAAACTGGTTTTAATGGTCTCCCATATTTGTTACAATTTCTAATTTCTATTTTGATTATGAACCAATAAAATTAACAAATTTAAGGGTGAAAAAATTTTAAAAATAGTTCAAGTTATACTTACATGTAAAATTATTTTGAAACCTTAAAATTACAATTTTAAAAAAAAAAGTTAAAATAATTTTTTATAGAAGATGAAATTATTTTACTTAAAACCTGAAATTTTTTAACCATCCAGATTTATTCTTTGATTAAATATATATGTTGTGCCTCAGACTAATGCTTGCGTCAGATTACAGCTGAGGTGCCTCAGGTGTCAATCGTCAGGTGAGGTGCGTGACCTATTAATCGTTCATTTGAGGTGCCTCAGTTGTAATGTGACGCATTGATCATTATTGATCATTGTAAATCGTCAGGTGAGGTGCGTAACCTGTCGATTGTTTATTGTCACGTCGAAGTTGATATTTTTCTTTATTATATTAAAAATTTATAGTTTAATAATAGTTATGCAATGATATATTTAGTTTATTATGCGAAAGTTATTATATTAAAATTTATTATATGAAATAAAACTAAGTTGTTTCTTTATTATATTAAAATTTATAATTATGTAATTAAAATTTATAATTATGTAATGATATATTTAGTTTATGTGAAAGTTATTATATTAAAATTTATTATATAAAATAAAACTAAGTTAATATCCTTAAAAATCCTTTCCTTTTGTGCACAAATTAATATTATTTATAATATTCATTATATTCGTTATGCAACTTAATTTTTGTTTGAACATGATTTTCCACTGTGACACCTACTTGTGCATTTCGCGTTTTTCTTTTTACATTTGCACCTGTTGTTATCACATGGACCCTTGCAATTACAAACAGAGCATGATACTAATCCAACACTCTGAAGTCTTGTCGCCTCTCGAATAGATATCTGATTTGATGGGATCTCATCAAGCTCGGGATATGTAGTAGCTCCAAGTGCTTCGAATTCACCCCTATAATAACTTACATTGATTATTCCATATTTGCATCCTAGCTGATAATGTTGATCATTAATTTCCTCTATGATTTTACAAGGGAGACTAGAGCGATCGGTACCAAATCGATCAATTTTTGAAATTTTTATTCGAACTAAATCACCACATTTGATTAGTCATCTTTTCCGTGTATTGTTCAAGGTTCCACCGGGCAGTAATTCTTAAAATTTCGTGACGTTCTGAAAAAATAGAATCTTGATCCACAGTTTCATTAAAAATCAGATTATTAATAATATTGTTATTTAAATTTAAGGGCTCCAGTGTACATGTAGATGTAA